CAGGCCATGCTGATAGGCGTACATTGGAAGAGAGTAGCGAAGAAGAAAGCAACGGTATATGCAGCCGACAGACCCATGACACTGTAGACGATCATCTTGAACTTTTTATCTGGAAAGACGCGCAGGTAGAAGAAGAGAATGGAGATCTTGGAAATACCAAGAGCTGTCACGTAAAAAATCTCTCCGTAGAAGTAGTATCTGAGGACATTGGTGATTTGGTAATCCTTCAACGTCCAGATATCTCGACCAAGACCGTTATCTACCACTGGAGAAAAATGTTAGCAAGTTTGCTTGGCTTGTAGAGAAAAACCAAGTTCTTACAGTTTTTGATAAACACGGTAGGAGGAATTGCGAGCGCAAGCACAACGGCCATGGTGGCATCGTCCCATGACACCTGACGACCACCTTTACCGATACTGGCCGCCATTCTGAGAATGTAGGATACTATAGCGATTCCACATCCGACAAGGCCACCGACGATGAATCTCTTGCCGTTGTAGCGTTCAGGGACGCCACAGCCTTTGCTGCTGACATTCTTTGTTTCTATCACTACTGTCAGTGTCCGAACGCGTCAATTGTCAATGACTGGGTCATCTTACGCAGAAGTTCGTATTTGGTACATGTTTTCGCGGCACATAGACCAACAGCAGCATTGAGAGCCTTATTTGTGCACAAGCACGCCGAAGTGAGATCTGTCGCGCAGGATGATGTGGGGATGACCTCGATAAAACAAGCCAACTACACTCGTGTGTTAGACGCGAGAACTAATCATATGACAGCAGGATGAACATACCGCACACTTAGGCATACTTTCTGCCAGAGTCGCCAGTGGGTTTTGTGCTTGGACGCCAGCTGCGAAGGCTGCAAGCCCTAGCAGAATGTTTCCAAACTTCATGGCGAGGTGGAAGGTGTGCCTTGCCAAAATGCAAAGCAAGAAAAAGTATTATTGGTGCAAAGAGAAAAAAAGATGATTGGCGTAGTGTCGGAAGCCACGCTGATGATCAGGGTCCCGGAGGTAGGTACATGTACGAATATAAATCTGCAGTGAGCCTTGTCCGGTTGACTTGCTGAGAAGTTGTTGGACGTGAAAAAGGCCCGGCAAGTGCCGTACATGATCAGTTCATGAGCTCGACAGCCAAGAGACAATTCTCCGATGTCATGGATCCGCATAAAATGTCCACAGCCAGGGTGACGAAGACAACCCAAAGCAATGGGTCGCAGTGATAGTAGCGTCGCATCGAGAATAACATCAAGACTGCGAAACAAGCTGCACAACCACCTGTGCGCAGTTTTTCCCATCGCCGGGGTACTTAGAATGCCAATCCTAAGCCTTCCTGCATACGACGGGCCCTTGAGCATTTCTTCCCCGAAAGCTAGTCCCCTCTGAAAAACGTCCGCTAGGAGCATTTTTTACCAGTAATACCCGTACCGACGGTTAGCTCGTCGGTAGATATGAGCCGACATGAAAGGTGGGTGCAGTGGGTGCAGGCATGAAGCTTGCGTAGGTATACCCCATCACCCATGTGGAATCCGTCGTGGAGAACTCGTTGATGGGCCCTTTGTGGTTGTGCTGGGACCTGGGCGTGATGATGAGCATAGGAGAGGCCCACTCTGCGGCACACCTCCCAGCCAATTAGCGCGGCGGCTGCTTACATACGCGCGTGAACGGCACATGTCCAGTCAACCCCTAGCGGCAGGATTTCTTTAAGCTTCTCTGATTGGCACTGCCACAAGTTGCAGCATCGCGAGATTGTATCCCGTCTCCGATTCTTGACATTTGGGAGGAAAGAAACCCTATCGCGTCGGTGGAGGCACTGGTCTGGGAAGAAGAGCGTCGAGTCATGGCCATCGGGACGGCCCCCTCAAGGTTTCGTCCAACGTCTTGGGCGGCCCGAATCCTAGCACGTTTGACGCGCGGTCCCTCGACTCTCCTGCCTAGAGGAAATGCAGCCTAGCATCAACGACCATTTCCCTTTGTGTGAATAAATTGGCCAGACTGACTCGTGGCACCGCAGACAGGGCTGCCACTAGTGCTGCAACCACGAAGCGTGGGGCATCCCACGGATGCCTCTGGATTGCGCTACTGCGAGATTGACCCTTCTTACTAGGTTTGGAAAAGCGAAGGTCGACATGTTTGGCTAGAGACCGTCTTTTTAGCAAATCTTGGGCGCAGAAGGGGATAGTTAGTCGGTGATCCCAATCACGGTGCGGACGACTTTCTCTGCCGGCAGGACGAAGTGGCTGCGTCAGGTGAACCGCATGCTAGGATAAATCGTGAGGACGACTTGCCTTTTTCTAACTTCCCTACACACTTTCTTTGCCACTGTGGTGTGCATATCAACCTTCGTTTTTTCCCCCAGTCATTCTTTTTACTTAATTTTGCACATAAGGTACTATAACCATGATTGTCATCAAGGCTCTTACCGTCCTTTCATTAATTACTTCCTTTGCGGGTGCTCGTATCATGTATGCTTCCCTATCCTTATACCCACACATGACTTAGTCACATGTGCTCACTACAACAACAGCGATGGTGCCCAGCACACCCCTTATGGCGGCGCCAACGTAAAGCGTGCTACCAACATTACCGACACCACTACTCTACAAGACTATGAATATGTCATTGTTGGCTCTGGTGCTGGTGGTTCACCCCTCGCGGCTAGGCTGGCTCTTGCTGGCCACAAGGTCCTTTTGCTAGACGCTGGAGACGACCAAACGAACTCGACGGAGTACAATGTCCCAGCATTGCATGCTGTTGCAACCGAGTATGAGCCTATGAGGTGGGACTATTTTGTCAAGCACTTTGATGACGAGGAAGAGATGAGGAGGGACACCAAGCTCACCTACGAACTTCCTGATGGTTCTCGTTACACCGGCGCTACCCCCCCTGCTGGTGCGAAGCCACTGGGCATTTTATACCCCCGTGTCGGATCCCTGGGCGGTTGTACAGGACACAATGCCCTTATTGCCATGTATCCCTACAAAAGTGATTGGAGGAACATCCAAGAACTCACTGGCGATGATTCCTGGGACCCAGAGAAGATGCGTAATTACTTTGTCCGTCTCGAGAGGTCACGCTACCTGCCTAGCAGCATTGTTGGCCACGGATTCACTGGCTGGCTCGAGACTTCACTGACCGACTTGACGTTGATTGCCCAAGATCTCAAGGTCGTCTCTCTTGTCTTGGCCGCCGCTACCGGCTTGGGCAAGTCCCTTCTTTCGTCGCTCTTGACTACCGTTACTGGCTTGACTCAGGTGCTGCTCCGTGACCCCAACAACCCCAGCCCCAACCGCGATTCGCAAGAGGGCTTGTGGCAGGTTCCTCTGACCATGAACATTCCTAGCTACAAGCGTGCCGGACCAGTCGACTTCCTCCGCCAGGTCCTCGAGGCGAAGAACTCCGACGGCAGCCGCAAGTACCATCTCGACATTCAGCTCAATACTCTTGTCACCAGCATCAGGTTCAACCAAACCGCCGATGGCAAGCCCAAGGCTACTGGTGTCAACTTTTTGACTGGAAGGTCCCTCTACGGCGCAGACCCTAGACGTCAGTCTGGACGTGCTACTGGCAAGGGCACCAAGGGCGCTGTCACTGCTACCCGAGAGGTCATCATCTCTGCTGGCGCTTTCAACACCCCCCAGCTCTTGAAGCTTTCTGGTGTTGGACCCAGGGAAGAGCTCGAGAAGTTTGGAATCGAGGTCGTCAAGGATCTTCCAGGTGTAGGTACCAACCTCCAGGATCGCTACGAAGTCCCCGTTACCGGCCAGGCCCCAACCAAGATCTCTCTCCTCAACGGCTGCACTTTCCTCGAGGGCTACGACAAGTGCCTTGAGAAGTGGGAAAACCTTCCTCTGGGTATCGGAAAGGGTGTCTACGCTACCAACGGTGTTGCTTTGGCCATTACCCTGAGGTCCAGTGGCTCCATCCATGGCAACGCCGATATGCTCGTTGCTGGGTGGCCTGCTTATTTCAACGGCTATTACCCCGACTTCTTCAAGAACGCCACCAAGGGTCAGGACCACTGGACCTGGCTCACTCTCAAGGCCGAGTCTCGCAACAATGCTGGTACCGTCACTCTGCGCAGCGCTGATCCTCAGGACGTTCCCGAGATCCGCAAGCGCAACTTTGCTGTTGGCGGTGACGAGGACCTCCAAGCCGTTGTCGAGGGAATGAAGTACAGTCGCAACGTCTTCAAGAGCCTCATCCCTCTCGACGGCAAGTTCGAGGAAGTCTGGCCCGGCCCATCCGTTCAGACCGACGATGAGTTGAAGGAGTTCGCCAAGTACCAGGCCTGGGGCCACCATGCCTCTTGTACATGCCCCATTGGTTCCGATGGTGACGAGATGGCTGTCCTCGACTCCAACTTCAAGGTTCGCGGTATCGAGAGTCTCCGTGTCGTTGATGCCTCTATTTTCCCCAAGATCCCTGGTACCTTCCCTGTCATCTCCATTTACATGATCTCGGAGAAGGCTTCGGATGTCATCATTGCGGATGCTAAGAACTCCAAGGCTTAGATAGTAAAGATAGTCGTTCGTTGATAAAAGCTCACACCCCCTTACCATCGCTACTAATACATTAATCTTTACATACACATTTCCAACATGTGCATATTTCAAGAATATTATAGACTTTCCCTTTACACAATTCGGGATATACCGTGATGTTCCCTGTCCTTAAAAAGGCGCTCGCTTATCGCACGCTTGGGGGTGGGTCTGTGGAGACATTTATCGATTTTATCTATATGTCCGCTTTCTTATTAGATCCGAGTAGTATCGGACAATTGCTCAATAATAAGCAAAAAAAAGGCGTCCCGTCCCGTGCTCCGCAACCAAAGAAAAAACTCTAAACTGACTTTTGCTGTCAAAAAACAAACGTTGCTGTATGATATCGCAAGTAAAAGAGCTAAATGACCGACTAGCCATGTCATCACAACTCTAAGGTACGGTACATTAGCACTTAGCAAGTACCCAACACATCATCTCACTTGACACTGAGTCCATCAAGCCCCCGACACAAACCGCACTCTCTTCGCCGCCCTCTCACCCTCCAAAACCCCCGCCTCCTCCGCCTTCCTCATCAACACACACCCCCGCCCCGCCACCTTCTCCCTCCTCTCCCTCATCCCCTTCCACCGTCTCGGCGCCACCTTTCCCACCGCGACCTCCTCCTCCACCCCATCCACCTCCACCTTCGCAAACCCCAGCAAATTCTCCTTAGTCTTATTAACACTCCCATATGCATTCTCCCACTCCCTCACCCCCACATGCGTGAAGTACAGCACCTCGGTGAGCGCGGGTCGCTTGCGCCGGGGAAATTCCAAGCAGCGGAACACCAACTCTTCGAGGCGGCTAGAGTAGCTGTAGGAATAGTTTTCATGGTGCTCGAAGCCGAGTTGGGAGTGCTCGGTGCTGGTCATGCCGCGCGAGACCCAGGGTTCCATCATGTTGAGCATGATGAGGCCGACGTTGAAGATTTCAGAGGCGATGTCGATGGGTTGGTTGCGGTAGTCTGGGAAGTTTTTGTAGTCGTGTTCCTTGGGTTGCGTTAGCTGCGAGGTTATTACATGTGTGGGTGGAGAACTTACCGGTGGACCAAACCCGTTAGTACCGACACCGAGCGCCTTGTACTGTGGATTCTCAAAGAAGCAGTCGTCGTTGAAACAGAGGCCGAAATCAATCATTTTGGGGGTTGGATAGGCAGGGTAGTAGTCTGGCTGTGGTGCTGCGAAGACTATGTTGTAGGTTTTGATATCTGGGTCTAGCAGTAGCGAGGATGAGAGATTAGTGCTACGTCTTCGCATATGAGGGAAATCGACTGGAAATAAATGGGTGGATACTTACTTATGATGGGCTTCCATCCTTCAACAGGCTTCAGATTCAAGCCCTCCCCGTAACTATCCAACGGTAGGTGCTTAGGCACTGGTCTTCCCAGCGCCATGACGAACACGGCTTCAGCCATTGCGCGAAATACGAGCCATAAGAAGGGTTCGGGGAGTTGTTTACTGTTAAAAGATTTAGCATAATCCAATAAACAATTGATAGTAAAGAGAGGAGAAAGAAAAAAAAAAGGGGGAAACTCACCCCGGATTCACAACCGCATGTTTCGCCAGATAATCCCCCAGATCACCATGCTCAGCGTACTCCATGAAGATATAGCCGAGCTGCGGTGAGCTGGTTCTTCGACGAATAGCTGACCCGTACGCTTTGAGGATATGCGGGCAAGGTACGTCAGAGAGCTTCTTATGCGCCTTGTCGTATTCGCGGTTGAGATTTTTCTCGACGTCGCGGGTTGTCAGTGAGCCGGTTATCTTGACAACCATTCGCTGGTGTGTGTTGTCAGTCCTTGTTTTTCTACTTCACATGCAACTTGTGTGTATTGTACTTACCTTTAAGATGATATGATCTGCAGACACGAGCACGAACAGATGCACAATGCGCTGGGTCTGGTAGTCACCGAATGTCGCCTCTGGCACTTGCATGAGCGTTCGCTCGAAGACCCAGCGCGAGCCGGCGGGTTTTTTGGGCTCGTTAGCTGGTCGTGGGTCGTGTAGGTTTACGAAGGCGATGTCTGACATTGTGGCTTTTGGGATTGGGTCCCTGGTGTACAGATGGTCGCCGGCGCCTGCAGGACGGAGATGTGGGAACTGTACGACGTGTCTCTCGTAGAATTGTCTTCCACGGGTTATGTAATGGGTGTGCTCAGCAGGAGTTCTATCCTTCCATCTATTGATGAGGGTTTGGGCTTGTAATTCTGTTTTTGAGGTCAGTACCCGCGTTGGAACAGGGAAAGTGGATGATTGCTAGAACGTACCGGCTCGTAGTCGAATATCTGTGACCCGGCATCCATATACAAAAGCTCTAAAGTCATTGTGCTCCTCCTGACGGACGTGTTTGTCGGCATATGTGAGCAGAGCTGCATGGTTTTCGAAATTTGTTCGGTGTAAACGTGGATCTGGTTCGCTTTCTGCAATCACAATAAATGGCTCTCGGCTGATGGCATCAGTATTTCCCCATGCGTGAATGACCTTCTTTTCCGACGGTATAGCTAAGTATATATGTGAGCGATGTGCTTCGCTAAGTGTGTAATTGAACTTACTTCCTGTTCGCTGCCAATGCTTGAGCTTGTGACCGATCACAAACAGACGAAAGTCCTCGCCATGACCTCCTTCACTTTGGATAGAGTGGATCCAGCCTACTTCCAGTGTTCTAGGAATGTAAATCTGCTCTAGTGTGGCAAAGTCGATTTGCTGTGCAGCATATTGTGCTTCAATGTTTACAGCCATAGCAGCGTGTAAAAAAATTTTGTTTTGGTAAAGTAGATGGCATGAGATGATTCAAATCGGCACTCAAGTCGTGGTTGTTGAAGATACAAGTGGCGCTTTGGGTCTTTGTTCAGTGCATTCACACAAGTCTTTGTGTCGCTAATGGCCGGATTTGGTGTTGTGTTTACCACAACTTTGTTAAAAATCAAACAAAGACGAAGCATTGTGATGGCGTGGAATGTATGAAAGCCATTTGGAATTCTATCTCAGCACGGTGGAATATTGAAGAGGAATACACGGCTACAAGGCAAACTTTCCATGCTGGAGTTCTTGGACTCTCACATGCAGACATAGGTTTGAAGTGTTGCATCACCTGTGGTCAAATCTGTTCTGTGCGGAAACATGGCTTTGGCAACAACCGTTGCAGTGTCAAAAAACAAGTTGATTTTTGGCCAAGGATATCAACGTCATACATTCGTAACTACGTGCCCTCATATCAACTCTTCAATGCCCCCCCGGCGGTCTCCAGTCGAAAAGATCGCCTGCTTCTGTGCTCCAGGGTCCAACATCCAAATCCACAACAGGGCTCGGCAACTCGACTTCTTCCTCAGCAGCTGGCGGCGGCACCTTTGTATCTACTTGCAAACTCTGCGTTCTTTTGAACTTACGTCGGGGATCTGTTTTCTTGATAAGTGCGCCTAGCCCGCTATCCTTTTTCTTTTTCTTCTCTACGGCAACTGTACTCGTCACTGTGGGCTCATTGGCAGTATCTGTAGTGGGGCTGCTAGGCTTAGGTAGATTGAGCCTTTCCCATTCTTCCGAGATACTAGGAATTGGTGCATCGTTCTCACTTCGAACACGTCGGAAGGTACGGTTCGGCGACTTGCCTGCTTGGTTCGTTTCTCCCCCATCCTCAATAGGATCTGCGAGTACTTTGGCGAGGTTCTTGGGCTTTTGAAGGAGTCCAGCGAGCTCAGTGGTACTCATCAAAGGCGCTTTTTTGTTGGTTCGTGAGGGGCGCGGTGAGAGCAACACGGGTTCACCATGAGCTGGTAGCGGCAGAGCGTTTTGCGTGGGACTTGTCAAAGCTGATGGCTTTTTGGTACGAGGAGCAGTCTTCTTGAGTATGCCACCCGTGGAGAGCGGTACTTTGCGAGAAGATGTTGCTGAGGTTCGTGATTGTGCGTCGGAAACTTCCGTATGTGCTGGAGACACGTCTCTCGATGCCGGGATCACTGGGTCCGGTGGTACAGGAGACGGAACCTTTGGTGCCACTTTGGGCTTCTGTGCCTTTTTCGTAGGTCTTTTTGCAGTTGTCTCATTAGTGGATGATATTTTCGATTTAGTAGCTACAGGCTCAAGAGTGTTTGTTTGAACGGTCATGTTGCTGGCCGTTTTGTCTGCAGTATGTTTAGATTCCGAGATACTATCGACGGCACGTGAAGATGCTGAACCAGGGCGTATAGGTGATGAAGCAACTAACAACTGCTGATCCATAAGACCATGGATGATTTCTGGATCTTCCTGGAGACTGGGCGACGGTAGGGATGGAGACTTGGAGACTCTTGCTCTCTTTGTCGCGCCGTGATCCACATTTGTCAGAATTCGCTTGTTCTTTGGCGGTCTTTTGGCTGAGATGGAACCATCGTCTCCCTGTGCAATGAAAGGCAATGACTGCTCATCCGCTGTACGGGAAGCTGCCCGCCTGACCTTGGTGCCAGTTACTCTAGACCCACTATCGGCCTTTGTATTTTCTGCTGGTAGAGCCTGGCACAACAACTTCCCACGCTTTACTCCAGTGGACAGTCGAAGGCATCGTGCCTTGCGAGCCGGAGGCGACGAGGGCGGTGGTGGTGGGGACGGTTCTTTGCGTCGTACTTGAACTGGTTGCAATGCAAACTCGATGTTAGACAAGCGATTTGAGGCGCTCACTGGAGGCGAGGAAGGTGGAGCTGGCTGCCTGGGTGTCTCCAGAGCCCGTACACCAGGTAACGGCATCTTGCTCTTTGGAATTCTTGGAGTCTGTACAGGAGGTTGAGGAGGTAGAATTGTTTTAGCAGCCCTGGACTCTTCTATCTTATCGGTAACTCGAGGTGGCGTACCCGGTAGTGTGATATCGGAGAACATGGCCGGGTGAGGCTCGGGCTCGGGTTCGTCTTCTATTGTAATGACGGTAGCCGTAGGGGGTATGAATTTCGCTGGCTGTCGAGCTTTGCGTGCAGCTACAGCCTTTGTTGGTCTAGGCGATGCTTCTTTTGGCTCGACATTCTCTTCCTGTGCGGGACTAGACGCTCGCCAGCTTGCGGGCGCCTGAGTCGTCTTCTGTCTCTTTGCAGCCCGCTCCCCAGCCAACTCATTTTCCTTTTCCTTTTCCTTGCGAGCGTCGTATGGTGACTTTATGGGCTGTGCCTTGCCAATGGGCCCCTTTGGCGTCCCGAGCAGCGTATTGAGGGATTTGTGGCGCAGTTGCGAGGCAGCCTTCTGCGCGGTTGGTGGGGCCACTGACAATGGGCGTTGGTAGGGCTTTGTCTGGGAAGGCGGATTCGGAGCGGGTGGCAGGTCCTTGGCCTTCCTGCCCAGGACAGCGGCCAGATCCGTGTGCGTGACACCCACCGGCTCTGAAACCTCGACAAGAGCGCCATTGTTCAGGTTCAGCTCGTCGCCCTCGTGCAGCTCATCGCTGTCCTTGTAGTAGGTGTCGCCGAGAAAGTTGCGGGCCTGGTCGTAGACCATGACACGGTTGTTGAAGGTATGGAACTTGAGGAAGCCATCCTGCCAGCGCTTCTGCTTGCGGCGGACATCGTGGGTGAAGAGACAGCGGAACTCGGCGACGGGCGCGGTGCTTTGGGAGGCCTGGATGGCAGCAATGGCGGAGGCGTGCTGGGTATTGCGCAGAGGGGCCGTCATGGCACGGGCAGTCTGGGGAGACGGGTGGTGGGCGGATTTGTGGGATGCATGGGTGCGGGCGCGGGGCTGGTGGGCAGAGTGAAGGAGGCGCGACGCGTGCTACGAGACTCTTCCGCGTCATCACGTGCGTGCCTTGGCGCGGCTTACTGTGCCGGGTGTGTGTGTGCGTACGCAAGTAGACGGAATAGTCGTAGAGTACATTCACCGCCGAGACACCCGGCGATACGTCAGGAGCTGTGTCTTTCTCCACTTCAGTCATGCCACGTCTGCGGTGCCTGGCGCTGACTGGGCTGACGAGCTGAGGGCATGCAAAGCAACGCAATCCACTCGCGGGGCCGCCGCCTGTGCTCTCCCTCTCCTTCATCCATGCCCAACCCAATCCGCCGCCTCACGGGCACAGCCACCGCTAGCCAATCTGCGAATTGCCCATCGCCCATTGCTTAACGCCAGTGTCTGCTACTTGCAGCGTTAGCATTGTCTTCTTCTCTACCTAATACCTTCGCCTGCAATTGCTTGCCCCCTACTCCTTCAAGATGCAGCGCATGCAGAGAATCACGGGCCGCTTCTTGACGCGTACGCCCAATGAGGCCGACGTCGAGGCCATGCTCAAGGACTTTGAAGACTCCAAGGTCATGTTGGAAAAGGTGCGTTCCATTGTGGCTTGTCGCCTCAAGCCATGATCTGCTCTGGACATGTGGGGTCGTCGCGAGACATGCCCTCCCTGGCATTGGCTTTGTCCTTGCCGTTGACAAACAACGCGCTGTTACTTTACTGTCTACTATCGCCTACGTCCTAGTCGACTAACAACCCCTTTTTAGCTTGAAGCCTCCGCAAAGCAATGGAGAGACGCCTGGACAAACATTCTCAACCACCAGCTGTCCTCGGTCGAGCAGCTCTACACCATCTTCAAGCCTCTCGGCGGCGAAGGCGGCTCCAGCACACATGTCCATGTCGAAACTCCGGCTGATGTCTTGGAGCGTGTCCACGGCCTCCATGAAGCCTTCTCCGAACTCAAGACGGACATGATGGAAGAGGTCAAGGACATTGACAGGAAACTTGTCGTGCCTGCTAAGCTTGCCCGTGATGCCTTGAAGCCCATGGAGAAGGCCATCAAGAAGCGCGAAGACGCAAAGGTTCGCCATGTTTTGCACCAGCTTGTCCGTCGTCACGCTCATTCTTTACTCAGGTCGATTACGAACGCTACAAGAGCCGCTGCGAAACCCTACAGAACAAAAAGACACGCTCTGAGCGCGAGAACAGTGCGCTTGCTAAACACGAAGTCGACCTTGAGCGCTCTACCCATGCCTACCACCTCGCTGACGAGAATCTCCGTGAGCGTCTCCCGCGCCTCAATGCTGCCACCTTTTCCATCCTACCCCACCTTCTCGCCAACCAGATTGTGTTACAAAATAACCTGATTGGAAACTTGTACACTGTACTACATCAATACTCGAACGAGCAAGGCTACCCGGACCCCCCGCCTGAGCCCGAAGAGGTAATACCCGTATGGGACGCAAGCTTTACACCACTGCGCACAGAGATGGAGACAAACTTTGGCTTGCTCAAGTCAGGAAAAGCAGTTCACATGCCTATGCGATTGCCAGACAAGGGAGACACTGTGACAGGCCTGGGAATTAGGAACAAGGTGCTGCCCAGCCGGAGAGCTAGTAGCAATGACAGCATACCTACAATCAGCAGCGCCGGGAGACCGGCGCGGCCCCCACCTTCTCTGTCTTCAACATCGGAAGGCGCTCCTCCACCCATCAGCCTAGCCAGCAAACCTTCATACAGTTCGCTCAGTGCTACAAAACCCAAAATCTCTGGCTCGCCCCATCTGAGCGCTGGTGGGGACATGTACGGCCGGCGTCTGTCATCTACATCCCAGGCTTCCTCGTATTCGAATGGCACCAATGGTGATGGTTACTTCAATAAGATCCCGTCAGCCGCTTCTAATGGCTCAACCCCAGGTGGATATCCAACCTCTCCCAATCCTGCGGCTGGAAAGAAGAAGCCGCCGCCACCTCCGCCAAAGAAGATAGGCTCTTTCCAGTCCGAGTACGTGACGGCCATGTACGACTTCGATAGCCTTACACCTGGTGATTTGTCGTTTAGGGAAGGTGACCGGATTAGAGTCATCAAGAAGACGCAGAGCTCACAGGACTGGTGGGAGGGCGAGGTTCATGGGCAGAAGGGCAGCTTCCCTGCAAACTACTGCAAATAAGTGTGGGCTTACGACACAGACATGACATGCGGATGAGAGACAAAATGGGACTAAAAAAAACTGATATCCAAAACTGCATTAGACGGAGGCGTTGGTATCCCTATGTGGCCTTAGTTACTCCTGAGGCTGAATAATTATTATTGTTTGAAGTTTCAACAGAATTGAGACATTTTCACAGCCAACACCATCTCCATGCAAAGGTCACCAGCCTCCTCCATGAAGTGGCTTAGCCCTCCGAGTCCATACAGGTTCTTGTCCAATCACACGTTGCGATATGCGTAGTTGCATCGACTGTGCCACCAAGACTCCGCCTCAGGCGCTTTTTGGCCCCCCGCCCAGCCCGCATACCCCTTAGCTCCCGCCATCCCATGTCGTCGTGTGCCTGGTATGCTTGCACGTGTAAGAGCATCGTGACACTGCCACACTCGCAGCCCGCGACAACCTTATATATGGTCCAGCGCTCTATCTGATTTTCCCTGGTTCTTGCCAAAGGAAAATATGGCTGAAAAGACGCCAATTCAAACAAATCACGAGAGCTACATGCTCAAGCCTCCCTTCTCTCCACAGCCCATTCCACCAAACTCCAATGCAGATGCGGATAATACTGAATCAACAGCTGGGACCTTGAGTCAGAATGAAACCACTCCTCTCAACAACACACAATCTTTTCTCCAATCATCCACCAACCGGCCCTTATCAGCTCTTGACTCCCTCCCTACCATAACCGGGAAAAGCGACCACATCATCAGGCCCGAGTATGAAATCCCAGCTTTCCTCGCCTTTGATCTCGACCTCGCTCGCCTAAACCGCATTCATGGCCACCTCTGGATGGCCGGCCGTCCCATGCGTGCCCGTCCTCTGCACCGCTACACAATGCTCGGCATGCAAGTCATCCAGACCCAACAAATGGACCTGCACCTCCTAAAATTCAGCTCAAAACTCCTCATCAAGCCCCTCCCTGAATGGATCCTCTGCCACAAATTCTGGACCGACTGGATCTGCACCCACGACTCCTGCCCCTCCTCTGACGATGGCAAACGCGAACAAGGTTGGCTCTGGAAAAGCGCTGCCGGTTTCCTCGTTAGCTACGTCTGGCTAGTTACTACACCTCTTGACCTCAAGATCGCGCATGAGAATTCCTTACTTCCGACGTTTGTAACTTGGCATTGGTGGAAGGCCTTTGTTAGCGATTTCATCGCCCATGTGGATATTGACACGCTGCATCAGGTGAATAAGAGGTATCAGTTTGGGGATTTGAGGCTCGGTAGGATCAATACGACGTATCGGGTAAGATATGCGCATACGCATTTTGTGAGGGGGTATCTGTATGTATTTCCCCTTTCCCCCCTCCCGTTTTTGATTCTTTGTGGAAGAGGGTTTTGCTAATGGGAAGTTTTTGGATAGATGGGGCTACAACCGCTACGTCATCTTCTTCCAGCGGAAATTCTCCTGGGTCCTTATCGTCTTCGTTTTCTTCTCCGTCGTGCTATCGGCCATGGAAGTTAGTTTCTCGCTTCCATCCACATCGCCCGTTTCGCTCGAAAACGATCAAGCATTCGTCCAAGCAGCGTTTGTGTTTGTCGTCTTCAGCATGATTAGTGTGCTTGTTATCTTGGCGTTTGTGGTTGTGATTTTCGTCGGCACGTTTGTGTTTAATATGGTCATGGCGATTTCGCATGCAGGGAGCGAGCAGAGGAAGAGGAGGGAGTTGGCGGAGAAGAGGAGGCAGGCGCTGGAGAATGGAGGGGAGTCGTAGGTGGGTGTTTTGGAGATGGAAGATGAAATTTGGTCTTTCTCGACGTGTTGATGATGAATGAATCACGATACCAGCGGCATATTACGAGGAGTTTAGAGGCTGACGAACGGCAATGACGGATTTCAGGTATGTGTAGAGCGAGCACTTACGTCCACTGATGCATGGTTCTTCTCTCAGGCATTGACGATCAACGACTTTGGGATGGTTTTTGCATTATCATAATTTCCACTCTATATCTAGGATTTATAGACTATTTCCCCTGCGCAAAGAAATATGACCTCACTGCAATAATCTAACTACATATACTTGTGTCTTTGCCCGCCAATGCTTACTAGAATGCAGACCAGCGAAACCCTGCTGTGACTGGCGTATGTAGTATATGAAGTCGGACAAATCCGCTCTAGCCTGCCATGCAATAAGACCCCGCCGCTCACACATGACTCTCCTCCATCCCCCATCCCCGCAAAACACTCCCCACCGCAATCCCCATCCCAAATACCCACAGCTAATAACCCGGAACCACACAACGTCCACAAGACACGTGCGCGCAGGCTTCGGCCAAGCAAGTACCGAGAAAAAACCGTCGCATGCCATGTTTTCTTGATGTACCGTGTTCTTTTAATCTAATTCGCGCTGGTGACGGCGTCGGCGAGCATCCTTGCCGGTTAATATGGAAAGCGGGATGGTGAGGCGGAATCGCGAAACGTCATGGGACGCACTTTTTGTTCGGTCTTAATTATGGTGTGCGAGAAGAGGACAGAATGGCATTAACTGTTGCAGAAGACGTATAGTATCTTTTATTCGTATAAGATGGGCGCGGAGTTTGGAGAAAAGTCTCCTGGAGAAAGTAAGAAAGTTACTGACAATTCTTCTCTCTCTTTTTTTGACCGCAGAGTTTCGAGTCATATCTGAACGCGTTCTTTTACTTAGAGTTTGAAGCCGTTTCTCGTTGACGTGGAGTATTTGTATACACTTTTTTCCCCAGAAAAACACCAGGAGAAAGAAAAAGAGCGACACCTCAACCCTATCCAAACGACGAAAAGATCGAAAAAAAATGCGTTTCCTCCTCCCCCTCCTCTCCCCCCTCCTCCTCTCTGCCACCACCTCCGCCTCCTCAGATTCCTCCACCCCACCTGCCGACGAACCCACCCCAGTCGGCGCCCTGTGGACCGCAAAATGGAACGACACGAGCCTCACCCCCTACACGCAGCACTGCCGCTCCACCTCCAGCTACACCGCCAAAATCTACAAACTCAACGAACTCTACCCAGACCTCGCCGAGCAAGCCCCCCAACTCAAAGTCTTCTACAACAAACAACTCTACGCGGGGTCCTGGGACGGCATCGACGTGCACGGCGTAGGCCGCGAGCTCATCGCCATGCACATGACCGACGTGCCTTACAAAGTGCGCGAGTGGCTCAAGAAAGAAACGCTGCAGCGCCATTTTAGTGTGCAGGATGATTTGGTGTTTTTTGCCCCGGGAGCGATTTATCCCTTGCTGCCGCTTTGGGTGGAGGATGTGGAGGAGGAGCAGGGGAAGGAGTGTGAGGGTGTGTTTGAGGGGCTTGAAAGGTATAGTAATGAGCTTGGGGATGGGAAGGTGGTTGGTAAGGTTAGGCATGAGAGTTTGGGGGACAAGGAGGTGCGGTTTACGGTTGAGGCGATGGTGGTTAAGGCGAGGGAGGGGAGGGATGAGTTGTGAATGGGGTTTGGGCTGCTAAGGCAACATGTTCTCCTTTTTTTTTCTTCATTTCATTATCACATAGGGATATGGGGTTTGGGAGGTTGTTTTTATTAAAGATAAGATGGGGTTGGAACAATGTTAGCACTGCTGCATCTTGCAAGAAAGAGAAAAGGCCAATTTCAAACTGCTTCGTCACGACTGCCATCACGTCTTGCCTGTTCCTTTTCAACGGCCGCAATCTCCCTTTCATGTCTCCTTCTTACGATGCCCAGCATGATGGTGTTGTATACCAAGAACAGCGCAGCAGCAACGACACTGCATGCCGCTGTAACCACAATCGTCACACGAGCAGTAACACTATACTGCCCGTCCTGCGCAGAATACACATTCACAATGGTCGAAATAAGACCCGCAATGCTATTCAGCAGCGCAGGCAGGAAAATCCTATGAATCACCCACACGTAGTTCTTGCGATGTTGCCACCACAGCCACAAGCACCCCGCGACGCCAATGCCACACGCAAAGGCCGCGACGTACAGCAGAGGAATGTTGCGCACGGTTTTCAGAGCCGCGGCACTGAAGTCATTGTCCCCGGGCTTTGCGTCGGTGCGTTGGAGTTTGGTAAATGTCGCGGGGAAGACAATGTAGCCAGCAAGTAGGAGCCAGACGAATGCTGAACAGAGCAGGTTGTGCAGTGGGGAGACGGAATCGAGGCCGAGCAGCATGTCGATGTAGCGTGTGCGTGCTGTGGTGCGGCGGCGCTCAATACCCGGTCTCTGAGGGCGTGAATTGGTTGGTACCGAGTTTGCAGTTTGCCCATGTTGGCGTGGTGGTCGCGCTGGGTGGGCTATGCGTGTTGAAGGTGTCCGACTCGGTGGTGGTTTGGTAGGGATATAAGACCCCGCCGAGCTGCTGTCATTTCTTCCCCTCTCTTTCTTATTGCTGGGCGTGTAGTAATTGGTCGTTTGCTCTGATACGGAGGATGGCATGGCTGTATCGCTTGTTGGCTTCGATGAAGACCGGATTGAAAATCTTTTCGACAATAGTTGATATTGAAGATGGCTACGGTCGTACGTGAACAGACTCCACTCAATGTGCGGGGCTTCAAAAGGCGCTCATTGTGCGGATATATGTCGTAAACGTACCGCTCTTCACTATCTCCCCAGACGCCTTATGCCGTCACTAGTCTACCAGGCCTTGCGCAGGTACGCAAAACCGGTTCCTAGCGCATTCCCACATCGCGCTGCAGGGCTTGGCCTCACTGGTAACGGCTTCTATCTGGATTCTAGACGGCGCCATTGCTTGTTTGCGATAGGATTTGCAGAAGGCGATGTGTGGTGGATGGTGGTTGGCGGGTGTCGTGGACTTGGTGGAGAAGAGGGCTGTCAGGGTCTGACATTACGTCATTCCTCAGCTCTCCCCTGTGCAACGCAGATCGTGGCCTATGTACTATTGCGCAATCAACTTTTCTCCATCAAGCCGAGGGTGCGAACATGTGGGCGCAACATGTCGCAGATACCCCGAGGGTATGAAACTCGGTTACTTTGGTCCCTTCGATGTGATCCCGTCTCTTGACAGCCAATCCGTCCTTGGCTCTTGTATCGCATCCCCCTTACCATCATTGGGAACTCTTGTCAAGCCTGATATTGGTGGAATCAAGATAACTGCTTGAAATCTCTGTTTCTAGTTGGTATTTCTGCCGTACTAGGGGGTATATCTAACAAAGCCACAGCGTGTTCATCGTCTGGCCCGAGCACGATCTCAACATTACTCCACTGTTGCGCTCATTTCGCGGCCACCTCTTTCTATACAAACATGGATGTATCTATATGTAGCATTTCGACACGAAAAGGTTCATACGTAAGAGAATTTCCCTTCTGCAGAGATGGAGTTGCACAGCATTCAGCCACCTAGGTAGCGCGGAGCGGGATTGGTTTCCTCCCGCTTAGACGACATGCGCTCCTCCACAGCAGAAGGCCTAACATATGGAAAAGTCCAGCGGCAAACTTCTTCCATGGGTAGATGAGACCGGATTATGCCGCAATTCTTCGTTCCATCTAGCCTCTAGAACCAATCCCTGCGTCCCTCATATAGCCTCACATCACCCTATTGGACGGACAAACCCCGCGTCTGCATACAACACAGAGCTAGGCTACGACTGGCGCATTATTTCCGATCAATATGGTTTGCGTAAGATGAGGCCTACACTGCCATTGCATGAGCCAGGCACAGGCGCCCAGCAGGCAGCGGGCCATTTCGGTACGGGCTGGCACAATCTGGTAGTACCCTACGGTCGGGTTTTTTTCATATGCAGTGAACATAATGAAAAGAAAGGTGAAGCGCCTGGACATGCGGCTGGATCTTCATCACTAGTTTTTTTTTATACTTTTCGTTCAGTCTTGGATTTCAAGACTCCATTGACATAATGGCGGGTGGAGTTGCTTCAGAAGCTGTTGTTGTGAGTGTTCCATTATGGCAATGCCAAAGAGGCGGTGCGGTATGATATTCTTTCTAACTCTCATGTACAAAGCCCATTGAGGCTATGTTATTAGGTCTCTCTACATTCGTAGCGTCTGGTCGTCTTATTCCACGACTCGTGCAGCGGCAATCTCTTACCCTAAGTGATTGCTTCCTGGTCGCATCAATACTCGACGCCATCGGGCTCTTCGCAACCGATGTCTTGACGTACGAATGGGGAGGCATGTCTGAGGACGAAGTGGAAATGTCAGATGCTCGCGCTATTGCCCTCAAGAAAGTAAGGAGTCTAATCTGGCTGCTCATGGGGTATTGATGAACTGATGTCCTTTACAACAGGTACAATTTGCTGGCAATGCTTTCTATGATACCGGAATCTACTTGCCAAAACTAGCCATCCTCGCATTATACTTTCGTCTGATCCCGCCGACAATGCCATGGTTGCGAAAAGCGCTCTATGCAGTGGCGGTATTCACGGGAAGCGCCATGATCACAACATTCTTTCTAGATACCTTCTGGTGCGGCTCTGAAGTGTCAGTGAACTGGTCTCTAGAAGAAGGTGCATGCAACACCTTCACTTCAAAAACGGTGTTCAGGATCGACTGGAGCATGAATATCGTGTCCGATGTGTTGAGTATGCTCTCGATGTTTTCACTATATTCTCAGCGATTATCTGACCAAGAGACAGTTTTTGGATTGCCGTTCCCACTTCTTCACTCATTGCAACTCCAGCGCCGACAGATCTGGGGTCTTATCGTCACATTTTGCCTCGGAGCTGTCACCATATCAATGAGTGTTGTTCGATTTGTGACAATAGAGGTCATTTATGCCTGGACCAACGTTTGTATGTCGTCATATTCTGGGCGTAGCAGAGCCGCAAAGAGGTCACCAGCACTAACACATCTGCAGTCGTACTTTCAATGGCTGAGTTGGCCATTGCCATCATCGTAGTATCGCTACCATCCATGAGATCATTCCTTCGGCGCGGTGGCTTCTTCTCCTTCCACAAAAAATCACGCACATCGGATTCGCGCACGACCTATGGCCAACGGACACCTGCCAGTGGCTCGCAGGGTTTTATGCGTCCTTCCAGAAGAGGAAAACACACCGTTCGCATACATAGCGACGAGGAGTCTGGAAGCGAGGTGGAGCTGAATAGTCTTGGGAGGAAGGATGTCATTTACGAGACGCGGCGGGTCAGTGTGCAGTTTTCGCGGTCGCAGGACGAAGACAGCGAACCTGTTGGAAAATTGCCATGAAGAATTATCCCGGGGCTGGCCGCCCGACAGGATTTTCAGCCAGTACGGGGGGCCGACCGAGGTGGTATGAGACTGAAGGATCGAGGCAGGGTCCCATTAATGTAGTTACAGTACAGCAGTCTCAGTAGATTTTCCTTATTAATAATTACTAGCCATGGGAATTCAGGATTCGGCCTTGGTGAGCGCGTAGCCATTGGCATGATGGCGCTCTTTCATCCATGTTCACATGGCGGTCCGCGTTGGCGGCCGAGCGCCCGCGCCTCACGGGGAGTTGCTCCAAGCGAGCCCTGAGCGCCGCTGGCTCCACCTTTCCAGACATCTTCATTCACCTTGGCTTCGAACCGTGCCGCAAGCATGCTGTGGGGTGGATCAGCATTGGCAGAACGCTTCGCTTATATTGCACTTTGTCTGGCAAATTAAGCCACCGGTTCCATGCCAAATCACAATCAAGAGCAGATGTCCAACCCTTACTACACATGGCAAACAATGATGACTGCGACTGACGCTGATGTATCACACGGCAGCCTGTACCATCGAAGACGATGGCTGGAAAAATACTATGGATGAAAAATGGCCCATATAGCATCAGGCTATTCCCGCCTTGAGTCTGGATAGCAGTATCAAAAAACCCAGGCCAACGGTTCAGCCGACGAGCCAAACATGGGCTGCTGTTGGGACCGGTCCATTCCTTCGCGGCTTCAAAACCGTCTCCCATTCCCAAAGTCCCCCCTTTCCGCGCGCATGCATGCAATGGAACGTGTCCCATCATTCCTTCAAACGCTATTGAGGCCTAATATCCGGTCTGCACCCTCTCGTGATAGGTGGTGTAGTCGCCCCTCCCCTCCAACATACGACCCAAGGTCTTGTCGTTGCGAGACGTGCGCTGGTGTGCAATCTATCCTGTGCCCCCCCTGCAAACATTGATAATGTTGCCTGCCTTGTATACAAATGCTCATGTAGAAGGGTTTTGTTTGTTCACAACTTTCTGAAGCGAGCGAACCGCCTTTTCTCTCTTCTTCATTGGGTCTTTTCGCCTTTTCAACTTTGTGACGCGATTCTCGTCACACTACGCACGCGAGCAACAATGGCACATCGCATTACCGGGCAAGATTGCATGGTGAGTTTCTCCCTAAAGTTATAATATCACATACATGTACGTTCTGCATAGGCTGACGGGATGGAATGGTTTTTTAGATCTCAGAATGGATCCTGTTAATCTTCGCTTACATCTTCGTTGCTCTACGCATTTACACGCGCTTGGTCCGGTTACATTCGCGCCTCGAC